CAGGCACCTGCAGACGGCGTGTGCCGAGCTCCACCCAAACCCCCCCCCTACGCCTGCGCCAAGGGTTGCGGTCTTCGGTTCTACCGGCAGGACGTTAGGGAGCGCCACCACTGGTGCTGCAAAGGAGTGTTCGTGGGGGCAGTGGGTGTGGAGGAAGACATCCTGGACGTCCATGCCAGTGGAGACGAGCTGAGCGACAACCACGCCGAGCCAGAGTTGGCTGAGGAGCATGGCAACCCTGTGGGTGACGGAGGTGTCACATTCCCCACTGCAGTTGCCCAACCAGCCCCTGCTGGTTGGCCCTGGAGACTCATAGCCTGCAGCACCGGCGCCGTAGGTTTGTTTTCCTTGTTTTGGGCGGTTTTGCTAAGGACATGAAAGTTCATGTTTGATAAGAGTGCGACTAGGTTGTGTTTTCTGAAATACAAGGCGGAAGACGCCCCTGGAAACCAGAAAAATCCTGCGTTACCTTCATTTTGTCAGGTGTGTAGGAATCAACAGACAGAACACGTTGCAGTATGTACACCCATTCTCACCCAGTTACGTAGCTGCGTTTGCTTTCTGCTATGAAACCATTCTGTTCTAAGCACACATTCAAAGCACACATTCAAAATTAACACGAAAAATGGAGCACATTTCCCATTTATGGCCGAAAAAATGTCCCAAACATGGGCTTCCACGAGTCCCGATTTTAGAAACGCTCATTATGTATTAGTAATATGCTTGTGACCCCAAACGTCACGGGGAGATACGGTTGTAAACAGTGTGTACATTGTAGCGAGCGCGACCAGGACATGCACTCGGCGCGTGATCATCCTTTTGTTTACTAGTGGTTGTTGAAGTTTGGTGCGGGAACACGGCGTGGTCTCACTCCGTGGCTGGGCTCCGTTGAAGTAGGAGGTTCGACATACTGAGCTGTACATGTACACTACTGCCTCCGAATTAATGTAAGTGGAACTCCAGGAATGATCAAGAAAGAAGAGAAATAAACCAAGGAGAGAAGAATCATAGAACCGTAATCCTGTGTCTCTGGTGTGCTTTATTTTTCTCGTTCTCGGTGTGTGTCTTGTCTGTCAATGTCCAACCTACCTTGTCCGGTGTGAAAGTCCTTAGACCGCATACGGGTCCGTTACACTGGCGGCAGCGTCGGCATTGTGCCCCCCTGGTGTCATTGTGAGTCCGTGATATTTGACAGTACACCCTCCAGAGTGAGAGAGAAAACGGAAGTGGTGTATACCGACAAGAATATAATATCAAATAAGTGCTCTGAAATATGTGATTGTCGAGCTTTCGGTCACTGAGTACCTTTTTCAGGGCAAGCAGATTCAGTTCTGAATGAACGCGGAAAAATCCCCGTTCATTCCCTCTGGATGCAGCGTTCAAAGGGGGTTTGCGGCCAGGCTATCAGTAGCCTTGCTGAGTTCTTCGATGACTGGTTCGGCGTCAAGTTCGTCCATGGATGGCAGGTAGTCGATGGCATCAAGGGCTGACGGTGTCATGGTGTTCTGTCTGGAGTAGAGGTCAGAGTAGTGTTCCGCCCATCTCTCCATCTGCTTGTTCTTTTCTGTGATCATCTCACCTGTGGAGGATTTTAGGGGGGCCATCTTGCTCTGAGCTGGACCAAGTGCTTTCTTGATACCATCGTAAATACCACGGATGTTCCCTGTTATGGCAGCGGTTTGAATGTCTTGGCTGAGCTGAGTCCAGTAATCATTGGCACAGCACCGAGCAGTCTTCTAAACTTTGCTCCTCGCAACCCTGAGAATGTAGAGATTCTTCTCGTTTGGGTAGTTCTTGTACTCAGCAAGTGCTGACCGCTTGGTTTCAATGATGGGGTCATCTCGGTCAACTTGGCATCAAACCAGTCCTGTGACTTCGAGGTCTTCCTCCCAAAGGTAGCCAAGGCTGTGCGGTGGATGGTGTTGCGCAGCTCTTCCCACTTCTGCTTTGCAGATTCTCCTTCTTGTGGTACACCAAGTTCCTTCTCCAAAGTGGAGGCAAACTACTCAACAAGTTCTGGTTGGGCCATCTTGCTGGTGTCAATCCGTGCCTTTCCAGGCTGTCTAGCACGATGGAATTTCTTCAGTTGCAGCTTGACCTTGCAACACACCAATGAATGGTCTGTGTTGCAACCTGCACTCTGAAACTAACGATTGATTAGCACGTTCTTCAGAGAGCTGCGCCTGGTCAGGATCAAGTCCAGCTGGTGCCAGTGCTTTGAGCGCGGATGTCTTCAGGAAACCTTGTGTTGGGGCTTGGTCTTGAAGAACGAGTTTGTGATACACAGCAAGGTGTTCTTCACTGCGAAGCCCACTCCGTGTTCCCTGTATTCGTCACTGCCCTTTCCCTGCCAGTAGAACGTGTAGTCCTCCTCTCTCAGTGTGCCTGCATCAGCCAACCGTGTTTCCTAGAGGGTGGTGATATCCACTTCCAGTCTCTTCAGCTCAATATTGATGATGGCAGTCTTCCTGGTGTTGTTGATGTCCTTGAGGTTAGCAGCGAGTCCTGTCATCATAGTGCAGACGTTCCAAGTTCCCAGTTTTAGAGTTGGTCTCTTTTGTTTCTTTGTCTTGCCTGGTGCGAAGGTTCCCAGCCTGCTGTTCGGACATCTCCTCCTCTCCTTCTCCTCATTCCCATGCACCCAACGAGGAAAGCAAGCTGTGGCGGGACAGCACCTTATTGGCTGGGGGCTGCCCTGCTTGAAGCGGGCGGTAGCTGTCTAGTGAGATCCGATGATCCCTTCCACCATCGGGAACAACCCCTGGCGCCGCGCTCTATGCCAATTGAGCAGTGGCTTATAACTGGTAACTGTCATTCCCCATGTTTTGTCTACGCCAAAGGCGAAGCTGGAGTGTTCTCTCCAGTGATCCGGTGTTCTACATTCCAGCGTTGGGCAATGGTAGGATTCAAGCCTGGGCAGGAAGATATGGAGGACAAGATGTAGCCCATGCAGCATGTCCCCCCTCTTCACGTCACTGATGAATCCAAAGAAACAGCAGGGCTTTGGCACCAGTGCCGTCGCAGGAGCTGCCTGAACGATGTTGAGCACAACAGAGAACTGCCTTAGGGGCTCCGACTCCGGATTTTTCCTCAGGGTTGACTCCCGAAGCCTTTCCCGTGACCGGGTGTGCCGCAAGGAAGCAGAAGTTTGAAATCAGGGTTAACCTTCCACTATATGGGCTACCTTCCCAGGTTAACGAGCCACCATCTACCCGAAATGTGCTATTTTTACGATAAAAGCAAACTGCAAAATTAACTGTAAATTCAAAGGCAGCAAGTTTGCGCACATAGGCCTTTAAAACATCCTTACTGCGCGTCAAGTTTACTTGAAGATAAGCTCGTTATCACGCTCGCGCTCGTGGAACACGGAATAATGAGTTGCGTTTATGCCCTGTAACTGCTCTGAGCACGAACAAAAGAGGGCGTGTTTGATATGAAATTGAAAGGCGTTGGGTACGCCCTCACCGCATAGGTGCGCAAGTTTATGCACCTTTTACGCGGAGCACGCAGAGTACGCGCAACAAATTTATTTGGAATGTATGGTAATATCATCACAATGCTCTCCATTATATAGACTCAATGGGTGACATCATTGATCTGCATTATATAGACTGGGTAGGACATCGCGCATTGTTTGTGCACAAAATGCGCAGCCGAACAATGGCGGCGCTTCAGGAGGGTAAATGTGGTGTTGTATGCTGTGCATTTCTGGTCAACATAACCTTTTTTCATGGGATGATGGCTAAGCCCTCGGCCTCCCTCCCGAAAACAAACCAAAAATAAACAGAAAATGCGAAAATATCATTTCCAGAAAAAAATGACCATTTTCTTATTAACTAACCCACTCGAAAGAGATAATGTTTTCGGTTTTGTGTGTGTTAGTTTTTAATTCACTTTTTACACCCACTGTTGTGTGTAAAACTGAGAGATTTCCACCAGTACATGCAATAGGTTTTGTCAGTAAATATGATGTCAAAACTGTCCATGTGTTTTCCGTCTCGTTTCGATGAGCCAACACTGAAAAAAAAAATCATCATTAAAATGATTTTAATTTTACACACTCGGGAAAAATTGTACTAAATAAAATTCATTCATATATTGAATAACTTTTATCGAAAACCGACATGCGGCATACGGAAGTGTGAGAATCATTTCTGTGAGCACAAAGTG